CGGAAAACAATTTACGAAAACATTGGTTTTCGATAATTCTTCAGCAGTTTAGAGTACAAATGAACACTTTTTTTGCATGTTTGGTTAGGAATCACGGATGACGGAAAGTCAGCTTACTAGTAAATCGAATTAGGGTCAGTAAAGGCTAACAGGGGGAGGGGGGGCGAGTTAAAGGCACGAATCCGGATTGGTATAACGACGAGCCGCGGGTGACTGTATACAGTGAACATTTCAGATAATTAGCAGGAAATTTGTTTCGCTTGACGAGCTTCCACTCGTTTAACGAGTTGTTAGTGCGTATATGTGCCTGTGTCCGCTGCTGGCTCTTGATCCCACGGCGTGAGTCCTCGGTCACCCACAGCCAATCAGTGAACTGATGCAGTTTGATTGGCTACGTTCCACAAGAAGAGTGTTTCATAGGACGAGTTTGGTGCCGGAACAGATTAAACTCGTTAACTGAGGCCCCACTGTATTTGGCCAGAACAGACGTAAATTCAGCACGAAGTTCGGCACACGCAGTATTGAGTTCTGATCAGACGCAGCCTTAGCATTCGATTACATTCCAACCGCTTATACAACTTCTATTTTATGCCCGATCTTTCGCGCCATCATTTTTTAAATTCCTGTGTTGGCATTGCTAGTTCGACTGCTCTGAGAGGGCGGTCTTTGCGGTTGCTAATTGGCCGGACGCACGAGAAGCAGGACCCGAGCAGCTTGTGGTTCACACTCCTTTTCGACCCTTAGCCGAATCCTCATAGGACTGCAAAATGGTGCCTCAGCCGTATCGGCCAGATCAAACCTCAACGCTTCTGGTTAGTTTTTTCAACCACCATCCTATATCGCGGCGTTCCTGCTTTGGGTTAGCATTCTTTTTCGCAAGATGTTTGCTTCGGTTTACTTCGTTGGTCATAAGTGATAATGATTAGTTTAGAGGTTCACACACCAGGAAGACAGGATCATGAGGATAACGTTTAGGTCATCATAACATGCACATCCATGCTGGCAAATGGCTCTATTATCCTTGACTGCCCAACATGTGTGCAAGTGACTGGGTGATTCTCGTCTGAAGCCAATAAATGCAGGCTGAATTATCTGTTAGCGTTAACATGGTGTTGCAAGTTAAAATAACAGCTACCTAGTCCTGCCGAGAGCGGCCTTGGCCCCCTAGAAAGCTCTGACGTGTCTGTGGTAGACTGCAAAGCCGGTGTGTGAGCAGTGCCAATCGGTTATTCACAGCCTTCTGACGATACTTGGTTACAGTGGGCTTTTTTTCGCTTGCATTTGTTTTCAAATACCCTCAATCTGGCGATGAACTTGTCGATTTGTCGAAATGCTATCTCA